GCAGGGGAACTTGAGCTTATGTTGGCATGAACAAACTTCTGCTGGCGACAGCCTTCTTTCTCACACAGCAGCGGGTGCGAAAGAAAGCCTGCACGATCAACGAGCTTGCAAAATAAAGGCAAACGTGGTGAAACCTGGGAGCATTCAAACCATTGCAAATTCAGTAGGTGGCCTTGCTGCCTTTGGTAAGATAAAGTCAGCTCTGAAACCCGGGCTGAGCATCACACTATTAAGTAGAGCCATAGGAAAAAATCGGAATGAGTGAGGTGAGGGACCCCTCAAGGGAGGGTGCAAGAATCTCCATGGGGACAGCCTTGCTGAATACAGGACACTATGTGTCACGTACAGGGAATATAACAGCACTGCTGGCCAGGCAGTACATCTTCAAAAGCTAAATTCATTTGCGTTTTATACAACAGAAGCTTTCTAATACAGAAATACAGACAGTTTTCTGTATTGTCCAGTGGGACAATAGTGATAGTGTCAAGTAGGACACTATCACGTGAGGCTGCCCGTGAGGGCAGTTTCATTTCTTTTCTACTCTCGCTATCATTAAAAAATATTAGGAAAATACATTTATTAGAGAATCCAGATAATTAATATGACACACTAAAGGCTCAAGGTTTTTTCCCCTCACCTTCAGAGCAGTCGCTTAGTTAACTGCACATGGTTTAAAATTGCCATACAACATTTTAATTCCAAATAAACTATTTTCTGCTGCTATACTTGGTTAAAAGACCCATAAGGCAGATTTATATTTATTAATAAAACTCGATACCATAAACCTTTAGGAACACCTTCAAAAGCATGAATAGCATTTAGGTATCTGAATTCCACTTCTACTTTGTCTTTCTCTTTTCTACCCTGACTGTCCACATGCCTCTCTTCTGTTTTAGCATGTAACAAGTAGAGGCCTGGTGACTTGTTTCACACAATTCTGCAGTTGGTGCTTTTGCAGGTTTGGCCACTGAAAAGGAGGGCTTAAAATGAACAAGAACAGTGGTCACTAACAACGTGGGGGTATTCTGAGGAACTCGACCGTTAGGTCTTCTGTGAAACTTGCTTTGTTTAATAATGACCAAACCCAATTCTTGACAAACTGAACGGCTGGACCAATCAGTCTGTTTAGTACCATACTTACTGCATGAATAGTTTGGTGTAAGATACTACCTGAAAAGTCTTTAGCATACAGCTGAGGTAAAATCAGATTATATGTGCTCCCTGAGCAATCAATAATGTAGAACATAAGGTAGTTTATACTTTGGTTGTCATCATAGCTTTCATGTATTTCAGAGATTTTTTTTTTTTTTACAAGCGTGTACTTAAAACATTTGCTCTCATGAGCAGCAACTGACGGCATTATACCTGTGCCCTTGCAGGATACAGAAGGTGAAATATTACCGTGGTATTCACAAACCTCGGCCTCAGTTCTGGACTGTATTTCAGCACACACCTAAATACTTTCATTGAACAGCCACACCTTTCTAAATTGAAACCTTAGTCTGGAAGACAAACATTCTTCAGACGTTGTTTGGCAATGTCAATGCTGGGCACCCAAATCACACTCTGCAGAGTTTAAATGCAAGCACTATGTAAATAAAGGTAAGCAACATGACAAACTTATTTTAGGCCAGTGTTCCAAACTCAACACCTCGCCTAGGAAGGAAAAGCCCTTTCTTTTTTCTGTGGGTTTAATGCAGATCTTGTAATAACTCCCACAAGAATATTAACAACCATTTGATTGAGACAAAGCTGGTAGCATAGGCTTTATCCTCATTTTTTCTTCTCGTTTTTACTTATCCGTAACTGAAGTTATTTGAACTCAAGCCAGACACAATATTTTGGCTGTCACAACAAATTATATTGCAGAGAACTGCATTCTGCAACATAAGGACATTAAAAAATAAGCCTTCTTGTCCCTTCCTCTCTGCAAAATTTCTCAAGAGAACTAAAATAAAACAAGCAAAAATTCATATAATGTACTTGCCTCTTAATTAAAAAAAGTTAGCAAAAACCAGAAAAATTTAACTTGGAATTCTTGATTTTTCAAACTATTTTTAGGTTTTCGTAATGGAATAATTAGCAAAAATGTTGCTTAAGCAAGCAAGATCATTGTTTTAAACGCCTGACTGCTTATATAAGTAATAAAATCATAAAGCCACTTCTCTAATGTCCTGTTCCAGTTTGCTTATAACCAGTTCACGCAGCACGCTCTAACTCGAGTCTCAGATGTTGACAAGTCATAGTTGTGGAATTCACCCCTAGTGTAATCATTCAGGGAAGAGTATAAAGTAAAACATGCTCATTAATGTGGTCATTATAAGGCTCTTGGGGAAATTATCAAAACTTGCTACATTCAAACATTTTCTGAAGTATCTGGGGCCAGATTCTCTTCAACCAGTGGCAAGGAGAACTGCCCTCAGATTAGACTGGTGCTTTGGTTTCCTATTTCCCAGGTACAGGAAGAGAGCAGAAGAAAATCAGCCTCATCACTTTTTGTTAGAAAATAAGAGTATTGAGGTAATGAAGAAGAAGAAGAAATGTTCAGACATAATCTGCAAATAAAGAAATACTCTCTCTGTTTGCTCAGCACTAAAAATTAGCTTGTTAATCAGTATTCAAAGGGTTCTATTACAAGGACTGAAACCAAAAGCTAAACTACTAGAGCTGATCAGCCACAAGCTCCTGGGATTTTTAGTCCAGTTCCGTAAGGTGTTCACCATCTACCCCGCTTAGAGTATCGTGCACTTCACAGAAGAATGCCCATACATGCTCGCAGCTGTACCGAAGCAGCATTCTCGCTATCACCTGGCTAAATGTGTCACTTTAATCCAAAGGGTACTATTAAGACAAGTACAACGGAAGCTTTTCTCTCTCATTACCTAATTCTGCCATGGACACAGTTGGAGAGGTCTCCCCATTTGTAAAAGAACAATAAGGGAAGAAGCCCGATGCTGGTGTGTAGTCACATATTGGTTCTGGTTTGATTCCATTAATATCAAGACCCGACTGATCTGGAGAAGGCTGTATGTCTAAGTAGAAGCTGCTAACTGCAGAGTCTGCTTTGCTACCTTCAGGGGTATGCCCATCAATGTAATTACTGAGGTCATCATGTAGCTCTGTTAACCCATTGGTGGTGATATTGTATGTTGGTGTTAGTGGTTCTGCCTCTCCTGGTTGCTGCTGATGATCTCGCTGCTGCTGCTGCATTCGATGTTTCTGCACCTCTGCATACAGGCTGTCCCTCTGCTTCTTTGACATTCGACCAAACTTTACAGCTGAAACAGACACACAATAGATTACATTTGTACAAATCCACTACTGCATTTTAATTGTCTTGAGTCTTTGAATACTGCACGTAAGGACACAGTGTAAAAGGCAAATCAGCAGGATGGGCAGACCTAAGAATCACTTCTGTCAGTTGCAGGTAACATAGCTGCAGCATCTACTCTTTAAAAGACCGTTTCAACACGCTACTTAAATGGACCATTAGAAGCCACTGCTTTAGCTTAATTAAATTTCCACTTCTATACTGAAAAGATTTTCTCTTATATATCCACCAAAGTTGACAGATGCAGCTCTTCAGCATTCAAATCCTACCTGGAAAAGAAGCTAACACAGAACATACTGGCCTGAGATGAACTGTCCGATCCCTACTATCTGTATATTCATACTACAGAGCGAACCCAGAGCTAGGTATAAACATGTGAGGTCTATCTCAAACAGTATCAAAAGCAAGCTTTATTGATATTAGGACTGAAGCACATGGGAAGAACCACAGAACCCGCTTTCAGTGCAGCTGTGACAAGCAAAAATGCTTACCCGATGAATTATTGTTAAAACTACATGTGTGCGTGCGTGTGTAACTCTCCACAAAATTATTACTACTTTGAGAAGTATTACTATTAAGCCTAAGCCAGAAGCAACTGGTTTGGCACATCTGGGGAATTCCTAAGAACACGGTATGTGATTTCTGGGACTTGTATCAGCTGTAAATCCTCATCATTTAGGAAGATAACTACCACCTTGTACTTTTCTACAGGAAAGCAAACATGTTGGAGAGACTAGTCATTACATGACCAACTGTTTCAGGTTTTTAGTTTCATGCCCAATAGAAAAATTAAGACACTGTAATTCAAGACGTAAATGTAATCTGAAAATGATCTCCTTAATCGGGTCTCGTGTACATAGAGTAATGCACATGTATTTGTAGAACATGTAGCGTTGCTGTCACTATTGCAGGGGAAAAGACTGAGTCAGATCTTCAAACTGGGGAAGCGATGGCAGCTTCATTACATCTGTGGGGGAGGTGTGCAAGTATCAGCTGCAAATCCAGTTCTAATTGAGTTACATAAGCTGCCATTTTACAGAGGTGGGTTTTTGTCATTACGCTAGGTGTAATTTTGAGCTTAATATTAACAGCACTGGAACACATTTTCTTCAGAATTCTATCTCTGAAAAAACACTGCATTATTTTCTCTCTGCATTTTTTCCCTTATTCATTATACACACGTTTAAGCTTCTCTAGATGTTGTGAAACAGTTTGATCTGTACCAATATGGCAATCAGAGTGTTACTTGCAACTACAGTATGTCACTTAGATTGCAGTGAACACGTAGAGGAGGGATTAACATTAGACTAAAATCTGCATCTTCAAGAAGTGACCAGAGGCAAAGCTCTTAACTGGGAACTATAATAGGTGAGCAGGAAAAAAAATAAATCCAAGAACTTCATACATGCCCTGATTTATACATATTTATGTGAATATATAGCAATGTATAAAAACCACTTGATCTCAACTACCAGCCTGATGCACAATTAAATTTTAAATCCTATGTTGTTTTAGTTGAACACACAGTATACTAAACATTATTTTACTTTTTGCAATTAAGCTATGTGTTAGCAGAGCTTACCATCTCGAGACATCCCCACAGCAAGGCATTTCTGTAATCGACAGTGTTGGCAGCGGTTTCTACTAGTTCGGTCAATCAAACAGTTCTTCTGACGAGGACAGGAGTACGTCGCATTGCTTTGCTGACTCCTCCTGAAAAAGCCCTGTAATAGAATTGCAAAATACAAATCAAGAAGCTGTTAACTGGTGGAGCAAAAAAAGACTCTGAAAGGTAGCATACCTAATAGAAAATGAAGTTCAAGTGCACTATAGTCAACTAAAGGAAGTTAAGAGGTTGTGTTTTTTTTCTCTCCTAGAAACAAACAAAAACAGTAACTAGTAGGAAACAGTTCATAAAAAAGTGTTATGACACATAAAGGAATTTCACATTTTTTCACTGATTTTACAGATCCCATATTACATATGGTACACCGGTCATTTCCAAATGAGATAAAACTAATTATAGAAATAGATTTCCTTGATTTCCTATCTTTCCTGGGTCAGCATAGATGTCCAAAATAGGGAGGATTCAACAGCTCGTTAATTCAACAGCTGCTACCCTGTTCTGCTTGTTGGAGATGATAATAGCAGGCTCTGATGTTCAGCCTCACCAGTGTACGTATGTGTTTAAAAATACAGAGCATGATGCTGAGCAGTTCCTTCTACAAAGAACAATTTTAAAAAATATTTTTTCTTAATTAGTTTGATGCTGACAACCGAGGTTTTGTTCAACTCGACGCAGGATTTAGATTTTTAAGGAGGGGGGAAGCCGAGACAGATTTTATGTATTACCTCTTCTCTGAGTCAACTGCAATGGGTAGACCCATCTCCAAAGAAAGTCAGCATTGGAAGGTTACGCAGTAGCTACAACTTAGTTCTCTCCATCAGAATGGTGCATGTTATTAACCACTATGCCAGCTGTTTGCTTTGAAGTTCATTTCATCTTTTTGCCACAGACTGTCCAAACATAAGCCGGTGTGTGTCTAATACCTACTTCACAAGGATTCTGCGAAGATGTAGTCATTCTAAAGAGGCATTTGAGATCAGTGAGCATGGTATTTTAGTTTTATGTTGCCACATAATGGATTAATTAACAGCGCTGCAAAGAAAATACTTCCTCAGAAAGGCTGGGCACCTTTTAATTAAAGTTGGACTTTTACCAATTTTTTATTTATTCCAAGGCCACATTCTGGAGTCCCTCGGCACATGCACACTCTGTCCAGACACTCGGTGAAATAAACAACAGGAGGGACTTCGGCACGACAAGTACGAGACTTCCTAGCAAACTTCCTGCAGACAGAAACATGACAAAACACCGAGATAAAGCCCCTCCTCCATCTTATGAGGAGGGCACCCGTCTTGTCGATTACGCCCCTTCATTAACCTTTAATGGGGAACCATGGAGTATAAAAAAAAAAATGAGGAAACTGACAATGCCTGTCTTTAATCCTGTTTTCCTTGTTTTCTTTAATCCTGTTTTCATTGTTTCTCACCCATTTATTCTGATCTTTATTTTTGTATGATTGAACTTTCAACTGTTTTTTAATGTTTGTCAATAGTGAGATGATCATCACTGAGACTGAAAGTATTGCACACGTTGAGCTCTGATCAAGTGCATTTTCGCCCTGAAGAAAACCTGAAATACCATGGAATTTTCTACCATTCCAACACCATGACTGATCCCTCTGGAGGAACCAACTCTTAGGTAAGTAGATAGCTTAATTTCCAGTTCTGTTAGCACCCTTAGTGACCCTGTCACTCCAGTGCAAGTACGCATGCAAGTGCTATGCGATCCACTAGAAAAACAGGATTAGGTATCGACCTGATCAGTGACTTACTGATCAAGGTTCTGCATCTCCACATTATCAGTCCCTTAAAATTTCAGTTCTCCAAACACTTTAACAGTTGCATTGAATGGCACACTCACGTATAAACCGTATGAAATCTGCCACCACTGAGGTCATGAAAGCTTAATCAACATGTAAAACGAACCTGGCCCAATAACCTCAGAGATCTATATGTTTTCCTTTAGCTGGGACATATACTGAGTCTGTATTGCCAGTTTGGCATATTTCTCTTTATTAAGAATATTCTTGTCAAGCTGAGGATTATTTTTAGTATTATAATGGAGAAAATACTGGGCTGTTTGCTTTTCCAGATTTTCCCTAGAGACACAGCTGCTCAATACATTTTAGTGTACAATATATCAGCTAAGTTACAGCTTGAAGCTAAATTTTCAATAGAGCAGAACTGCCTGAAACTGGGGCCTTTAAAAGCACTTGCACTTTACAAACCAGAGATGTAGTAGAGTGCTTTTAAAAACAAACCCTACAGTGTTATGTGGGCATGTTGAAAACATCAGCAGTAGCTAAAGCAAAAAAACCCCTTGCCTCAAACTTCAGAAATTAATCTAAACTTGTCCAGAGCTCAGAAATAGACATATCTGAGATTTGGGATTGAATTGACAATTAAGTTAAACTGAGGGTTTTTTACGCTCAAAGTTCTTCTATATTGTTATCATTTATTTGTAAATTTTCTAACCTTTTGGTGGTCCTTGGGCTCTCATATCATTATAAGACATGTGGGGCAGGCCCCTATTACAGGAGCCTTCTGTAAGTAAATATAGTTTCCTCCTATGTTGGGTTTTTCCCCCTTTCATTAGAAGAAGGGATGCTATATTCTGTTGTTCTATTTCCTCTCTTTTGCCAGAGGCGCAGAGACTAGCTATAATTTTTCCACCAGGAAGGAGGAGGTGGATGCACGCATGGTACACGTGTATAAGTTCAAGCATTATGCAAACCAGGCCAGGCCACATGCTCTTAATTGCATGCATGTTCACAACCATTATTTCACATTCACACGATTGCCTAATGGGCCACAGGCAGAGCGGACCCGTCTTGATCAAACACATGAATGAAACTACTGCACTAAAGAACATCACCATGTTACACCACTCTGACCGACGGCACGGTCTGAACCAAGGTCTCTTGTAGAGAGCGCTCCTGCGAGTGCACGGAGCCCTGCCTCCTTCTGATGTCAGGGTAAAGATCCAGCTGATTTTGATGAGGCATCATTGAGCTTTGCACGTCTCCCTTTTTATGTAGATGCATTAATACAGTGCCAGAAGAAGAGCAGAGCAGATTACAAGCCATAGCTTCATCTCTGCATTTCAGACTCCTATTTATGTACGACACAATGTATGGTTTTTCATATGCTGCCAAGAAATCAAGTTTGGGAAAAAAGGGCACAAGAACTTTTCATCTGCAAGTCAGTTTGAATAACAACTTGTTAAAAAAGAACTTTGAAATGTAAATAGCCGTTTTCGCAAAGTCTATTAATAGTTTCAATAACTTCACTGCTCAGTGGCTCAGTATTACAGATGTTTGCGCCTAAGCTTGCTCCTTAGCAAGGGAAAAGCCAGTTGTGCTCCCCTGATGTCCCAAGCGGCACAGCACAGACTCCCTCTCCGCTGCGGCACAGGCTGAAATGCTGATCTCATGTTTGGTCTTTTGACAAATTTTCATTTAATGAATTGATTCCTACAGTTCATTAACATACCCACTTCCACTTCTGTATACACATATGTCTTAATTAGCTGCTCATTGGCTGTTTAATTACAAGAAAACAGCTGACAGCTGCCTTGCTGCATCCTAATGGCAGACGTTTTGGAATGACTGTATGCAAGCCTGTGACAACAAAGGCTTATTCATAATCCCATGATTTATGGCTAATACTTAAAGACTTCCACGTATCATTAAGTTTTGCAATATTCTGAGCAATTAACAATTAGTTGGGGGGGTTCATTCTTTTACTGTTTTCTAAAGGAAACTATCACAAATTTTCTTCAAAGAAACATCAGAAAAATATACTGTCATATGAAAGACAGGTGAACATTCAAATTAGATTTTTAACCCTTTTATGACAACGAGCACGTTTTAGTTGTAAAGGTAGGTGAGTGTTGCGCCAATATTGTTTAATAAACTTTGTTAATAAAGTGTTTGATAACAAAAGTTATAGTGCCACTGAGAACAGGGAAAAAATGTTCAGTTTTACACAGGTAATAAAGACAGGACTGAGATGGTGTTTTTAGGTTATACAAGGCTTCTGACTAGCCCTTTCTGTAACATGGCTCATCTCTTTTCTAACATGTTTTGCTTGAAATTGGCTAGGCAAAAAAATGAAAAAGTTCAAAAGCATGAGTTCGAGGTAAATGTTTGCAACGCCAATACTGACACTCCATGTTCAATAGAGTAATGAAAAATTAGTAAAGAAAGTGAATGAATGAAACAAATGAACAAAAGTAATGCAAGATGGGAAGTGACAATACACCAGGTATTGTTTTCTGAAGTAACAAACACGGACATTCCTTGTAGTTACAATGAACAAGACCATCTCAGGTCTTAAAAGACACAAGAGACAGAAGCCAGTACCTATAAACCTCTGAAAATATGAGAAACGCCCAGAAATGCCCTGCATGGATAGTTTTATGAGACCAACTGTGTACAGTCAAGTAAAGAGAGGGATCCCACTAACGCATCTGTGAGTCAGTTGGGCATGAACTGACACTATTGATGGCAAAAGCAAGTAACTGCATCTGAGAATTAAAGGACGTAGTTCATTAACAAAAACTGCATTTCAAACTAAATGCTTTGCTATGTCCTTTTGAAGCATTCAGGTATTTTCTGACAATGCTGACCTGGATTCAACTTGCAGCTGAGAAAAGAATATGGATGTGTACAAACCAGTCTCCTTTCTCAGCATGGTCCCTAATACAGAGCAAAAGGTTGTTTACGGGTTCCCACAACTAATGGTTAAGGAATTGCTCCATACAGATACTAGTTTTTTCAGTAGTGTTACTGCAATAGTAGTATTTCCAATCTTACACAGGAGAGTAAACTTTTATTTCTGAGTCGTGGTACAGTCTTCGTGTCATTCTTCATCCATGCTTCTGAGTAAAAGTCTTATATGATTAATCTCATCTTCCCTTTTCCCCCATTATATGTAGTATACTGGGCATCCGCAATGGTCAGATAGAAAAAGCCCACTCTTTTAAGATTTATTTTATTTATAATAAGCCACAGGAGCCCTCCTAGATAAAGTATAAAACAGAGCCTGGCTAAAAACCTCATTTTTTTTCTAGGGGGAAAAAGAGGAGGGGGTGTTAAATTTTATTTTTTTAAAGGCAGATTCAAATTCAGCTGAATAGGTTGATGGGCTGGGAGTGCTCAATGATGTTTGTACAAAACATGGCCACTAACTTCCTAAAAGCAGCCAGTAACATCATAGCAAGATAGGAAATGAAAACTTCTCAGAAAACACTAATTGGCTTCATTACAGATCTTCAATTCTAGTTATGTGAAACAATATAACAACAAAAACTGGTCAGAAAACTTTCAATTATGTGAAATGCAAGGGTCACAAACCTGTAGAAGAGCAACAGTATCAGCAAAAGTCAATTTGACAAAAGCTTGTCTCTTTTCATACATGATACAGATTAAGATTGCAAAGTAGGTCTTTGCAACTAAAACTTCACTTTAGGTTTTAAATAAATTATATTTCTGGTGGTTATCAGTATTTACACAGTAACACTTAAGTTAACATTACTATTAAGTAACATTAAAGTTCACACCAAACAAGCAAAAACTGGTAAGAGCTGAAAACATCCCACTTTGCTGCTGCTGCTGCTATTGCTGCCTGTAGATCATTCTTGACAGGCCTGGCTTGAGAGGGCAGCAGCACATCTGTTCACTTCTGATGAGTAAGGCCCTGATCCTGCAATCTGATGCACATGGATGGGTTTGTAGCACCTGTGCAGAACCTCACTGACCTCTCTGGGACTATTGGTGCAGGACATCGGCTCCAGGAATCAGAGCGCAGGACTGGGAACTAGGTCTTTGTAGCAAAGTACTTTTTACAGAAGAAGGTTTAGCGTAACATGAAGAGCAATGTAAGCATGCTCAAACCTGCAGAGATCATAGCCGCAGAAAAGCTGGGAAAAAACCCATACCAATACACACCTGGCTTGTTTGGCAGAAGCCAAGCTATGCCAACTTTTTCACCAGCCAAAATAGTTCTGTTGGGTGAGACTTTGTTGACATTACTGTGG